AGGGCGCCGACCCCGGTCAATCGACTGGATTTTCAGGTTCGCTGCATGCATGCATGCAGTAGATCTACCATGCTAGCGTGTTGTTATGCACGTGAGTGGTGACGCGTGTGTTATCAAAAGCCTTTTTGCAAATTTTGGCCATTTGCGCTAAAAAAACAACGACAAAAAAACCAACAAGATCAGAGCACCTCGATCTCGCCTTCATAATGTAGATCTACCAGCTAGCGCTAGCGTGTTGTTATGCTAAGGTCAGAAAGGACTTGGTGGCACTCGCTGAGTTATATCATCAGTTGAAGAATATTCCTTATCCTGGCGTCGATCGCTGAGAAGGTGCACTACTGGCTACTGACGTGCATACTAGTTTGTTACATTCACAACAGTGTTGCTGTGGTAATCCGCGCAGTGCTGAACATCTCTATTCACTGTGCAACTGTCTCATACCGCTATCAAAACTTACTGGGGTAAGAGCATTATGTATGTACAAAAAAGAAGATGAATGTTGAAGAAACAATAGTTGACTGGCGGGCTGAGTGCGTTCGAGCAATTGTTTTCCGGATTTCCAAGTGGCAATGTCATGCTGTGTTGTGTATCGGACATGCATAATCGTACCACCCTATCCGACTTTTCGGCCGAGGAAAAAATCGAGAATTATTTTGACAACTCCTAAAACTAGTAGAGAACGAGTACGGTCGTGTACATGTTGGTGACTCGTTTACCCATCCTTAGTTAGGCCAAATAATAATTGCCAGGGAATTTCGATGTGGTTGGCTGAAGTTTGTTCTCAAGTCAAAACAACACGTGTACATGTAGTTATAAACTGACTGAAGTGATCTTTTGCATTTTACTGAAAACCCCCAAAAGCAGTTTTACGAATCACGTCCTTCGTGACTGATCTGATTGAGGCAGTAAGTGTTGGTGACTGAAATCTGGTCCATGTAAGTCAGCTAGTACTGGACACTGTGCAACTGTAGACTTTCCAACATTGGGTTGTGCACCGCTGTATGGCCGGAAATGTATTATTCCGGATTTCATCTAGCATGGCTGTAGATATTGTGTACAGTTGCATGTATACTAGTATCTGATCTGTTGTATGTTGTGTGTTTGTGTGTGTGTGTGTATTTTGCCGCACTGTGTGTTATTCTCTACAGACCGGCAGTACGTAATCTTCTGAGAAATTCTCAGTAATCCACACCATACACTGTACGCTATACACCCGTGTACTACTGAATATACAACATCACCAGGAGAACATGTTTGCTTCAAAGTTACATGGCAATCTCAAGACTGTCAGTAAGTTTGTTCAGCGTGGTTATGCTGTGAGTGTACAGAGCCTGTTAGTCCAGTCAACCACCGTGAGCGGATCAAGGCATTGCGTTGCTAGTAAGGCGATTCAGACATCAGCACAGTTCAGACAGTCAGTTAGGTGGAGATCAGATCAGTCTGGTCGTCAAGTCACTACGGTACGTGATGCCTATGATGCCATTGATTCAATCTTTGATAGCATTGTGAAGTCACGCACTTTTCAACCCAGCTATCTACTGTCACAATGTTCTCTCATCCAACGACATGTTACTGAACTACGGAGTCCAAGCAAGGTTAGGGATATCCTGCAGGCATGTGCTCTTATCAGTGAGGAGAACACTGACGTGACCACACTGGCAGTATCTGCACTGAACCAACTAGCCAGTCTACCTACTGAAATCTGGCAAGAAAGCAAGAACCAACACACGCTGTTATGGGCAATGTACTGGGCCGCAAAGTGCCGATGTTCAACTCCAGGATTCACTAAGTTACTACAACAGCAGCCTGATGTCATGTGTATTGAGGAATGTAGAAATGTTGGTAATTGTGCATATGCATTGCTTATGTTGAATATGCCTGATCGTCACCTGGCCCAACACTTGATCAATCGCTACCTTACCATCCAGAGTACAGGTGATCCAAAGCATCGTCATACTGAAGTACTAGATATCCTTAGCTAAAAAAACGCTAACGTAAACGCAAACCTTTCCGTACTTCGGATCGTTCAAGCTGACTTTTCCCTTAGCACAAAGTACGTTATAGTTGAGACGAAGTAGTCGTGACAACCATGGCGATATGAATTTTCGTGGAAACAGATGCGGGAAATTCAAAATTTTGAACCAGGGATTAGTTTGCTGTCGTTCCGAAAGAATACCTTGGCGAGGTCTTTTACTCTGGAATAGCAAAAGCACGGCGAACATGAGTTTTCGCTGTTCCCAGGTCCTTGGAAACCCTTTCCTAAACGCAGCACCGAAGACTGTAAGGGTCCTCCAGCTCCAGCACGTCTGGGAGAGGCCGATGAATTTCTTCCTCAGGAGTGCCGCGGAACTGGTCCTTTGTTTCCCAGATGGGATAGAGGGAGAACGGCACGAAGCAGAGGACGCAGAAATTGTCAACTGAAAGGCAAAACTCGCCAAAAAGCAAATGTCACAAGAGGAAGCAATCTCGACTCTCGATCTCATCTCGATCTGCACGTCGACGTGCTTTTTATCTCCCGCCAGTTACAAAACAATGCAAGTTTTTGCATTTTTTGCAGAATTTCCATAACGAACGTCGGCCCGTTATTTTGAGCTCTGTAACGTTTTTCCGTTATCCGATAACGTCTTTTGTCACGGCTGGGAGTGAGTACCGTAAAAGTTAGCGTTATCGTACTTTTGCTAAGGATGTCTACTCTCACTACTTCTCTACTGTACACTGTGTGGTGTAGAGTGCAGTGCCTTGCTGGAGCTGATCAGTGTTGATCATCTGATACAGAGTAAGTCTATTCTGGAATAAGACCTATAAAATAGGGACGTGTGGTCTGCTGGTGGTTGTACGAGTATTTCCTTGCAGCACGGACTTTCAATGCACATCCACACCAATATCCTGTATGTTGTCTTTATGTGGATAATAAATCATTGTGTATTTTTTTTGCACGCAATCTGAAGATTCCAGATTGCCTGCGTAATCTGCAGATTGCGCACGCATCCTGGGGTGACATGGAAATATTTGTGGCGCCAGACCAGGTAAATCCTCGTCCCTGATATTCCGGGATACTTCCGGGAATACGCCCAAGTACGTGTGGTGCAAAATTCACGTGTGTGGTGAATTTTATCTGTGGGTTTTGCTGAGAACCTGAAGAGCACAACAAATTCATGTGGGGCGCAATCTGTGGACTTTGTTGAAAACATGAAGAGCGCAGGGAATCCGTGTGGGGCGCTATCTGTGAATTTCGCTGAAAACCATGATCAGCCCAGAGAATCCATTTGGTGTGCAGTCTGTGGGCGCAATCTGTGGTTTTTGTCACAGTGTGTACTGCTAAGGAAGGTATGCTTTCACATACATAATGGTGTTGGATGTTTTAGAGTGTATGTTGAATGATTCAAACTTGAATTTCCAATGAAGTTGTCATGGCAGGCTTAGGTTTGATATTGAATCATACGAAAAGAATAAAATGGGATATGGAGCTTGGGTTGGCTGTGACTCAGAGTTTCACGCCTGTGGCGATCATCAGACAGCAATCAGGGGCGTCGCACACGGTACGGTCACTACGGTATTGACCGTACCACGTTTTGCCCAAGACACCCGTGAGTCAACAAAATACACTGATCTGGGATGTATAATTTTCGAAAATTTTCGGCTCAGCCACCACTCCCCCACGAGTCAATTGTACTTCAGATGGCTGACCGTACCACACTAAAATACCTTCCAACGCCCCTGGCAATGATTACAAAAACGCAATGAATGTTCTTGATATAGTGTGGTAAGGTGCTAGTGGAATCAGAGAATTTAAGGGCAAATAAGGTGAAGCGGTGATTCTATGCATGTACTTGCAAGATCAGCGCCAGACATCAGGTGTAATCCTGGTTTATGTAACTGGAGCCGGTGTGAAGTTAGATAGGTAGAATTTGTATTCAATCATATACAGTGAAACCTGTCTAAGGCGACCCCTCAGGGGAAGAGAAAAAGTGGTCGCCGTGCCGGGCCAGGTGGTCTTCTTATCCAGGTTCAGTGGGTCACGTGACCATATCCACATGTGATACATCATTTTGATCAGTGTATCGCAGTGCACACGCCAATGCTACTCTAGCACTACTCATGTGCCTGGGGTCCTCAGACCTGTCAAGTGTCGTGCATGCACCATGTACGTCTACACTTCCTGCCTGCACTGATGTGTAGATCTACCATGCATGGTGCACTATGCAATGCGTACATTTACATGTACTAGCACTGTGCAACGCGGTCGCGGGTGGGTGGTCGTTGGTCGCGTTGAGCGAGTGGTCGCCTTATCCGAGCTGTTTTGAATGTGAATGCGTCCGTGAAAAGGAAAAGTGGTCGCCATATGCGAGTGATCGCCATTACAAGTTCTACTGTATGACATCAGTACGGTCGTTCAGTTTTGTGCAATGTTATCGCATGAGCTGATTGTCAAGTAACTGGTGGTGTTAGTGGACATCATAGCATAACTTGTAGTTCCTTGGTCCTTTTCTTTTCTATAAATACAAGTACTTGTATAACCAAGAGTGTATAATTTTAAGTCTCGAGTACTCGCATTGAAGGACATGTCCATGTATCCGGAACATTTGTTTCCTGGCGAAATATTTATGTGTCTAAGAGAATGTCCCTGCATGCGAGTGAATACGATATATACTTATGCACTGGATTGAAGAATGCGACCGATTAAAATATACTCATGACAAGTTGAGTAACATACTCGTGCAAAGCCATGTATGTTTGTAAACAGGACAGACATTATGTACTTACGTATGTATACAGTATTATTAAGTCACACACACCGACGATGACTCATGTAGTGTTCTGACTTTTAAGTGTGAGGAGTAACACAAGTAGAGTTGGTGTGAATATGACCAATGATCACATCCAAATGTCAACTACCGCTTGAAATTTTTATTTTCACATTCTGAGATATTGCTGGTCTGTGCCCATACCACTGTGTGTTCCTCTCAATTCTGTCTGTCCTGACTTCTGTGCAGAATGCGATCCGCGCCTTGTGCAACTGCTATTTTTGCACAACACCCTCCCTGGTACTAACGACCAGCGGCTACAGATATTGGAAACATGTTTGGTGCGGTTCCGAAAGGCTGTGGCAAGTCGGTATTCAGGTCGAATGCATGACATGCTGTCATACTTCATTGGCTCAAAGTACACCACTGGCATTTCTCAGGTTGATGGTGTGAAAGTTCAAGCATTCTGTGTATTCAACCGAGGCTATGAACCAGTGGAGACTGACGCGTATCCAGCTGATGTATACAATGGTGTATCAGTAGATATGACAACAGCTAGACGTCATGGCTTCAATGTTGTGGCATGTCTGGGTGTGAGTGACACTCGGTTACTACGTCATCCTGTACGTACACCTAACGGGTATGATACTCTTCAGGCATCGGCACTGAAATCTCAAGGATGTTATATTATTCCGGTGAGTTCCAGTGCTAGTGATTTGATTTTGATGATGTGTGTCTTGATTCTTTAGTGACAGTGGGAAGAAAAGAGCTTGTATGTCACGGCCGCATTGCGAGTTTGTGACCTGGCTTAGATCAGTCTAGTGGCTACCCAGACTCCCAGGTAGACGACCAATATAGTCGCCATCCAAGTTAGCCAGCTCACACAGATTGACATGTTTCTAATTCCACTTGAACCGTGTTTATTGAACTATTGCTATGCTAAGTCGAAAGATCAGCGTGAAGAGTCAAAGACCCAGACAGAGCAGGGGAGAGGCGGAGTGACTCTCCCAGGATCGAGAGTGAATTGAGAGAGTAGTGAGCTCGCCAAGAGTCGAGGATGAATGTCAGCAAAACATCTCCTTATGCTACATTATGTGATCAAAACTATACAGCGGCAAGAATGTGTAAGGATTATTTCTATATTTCAACAGTAGTGCAATCAGCCAAACTGGAATGTAGTACAGCGATCAATACGGGGAGCCTGCTCACCCAAATGTGAATATTAATCATCTCCATATGCTGGCATTACCTTGGTCCGCGATCCGGTAGTTGGGATGCATTGCAGCTGGCGGGAAGCGTAGCTGTGTCATTCTTGTGGCTTCACCCAAGGCGGGCTCTTCCCCAAAACATAGCAGCAGACGGCAGAGCCGCTTTCCCACCAAAAGGGTACAGAGTCCACAGTACGTGAAGCAGTGCAGACCCTTTACATTGTACGATGCGAGAAGAAGCGCCACTCTTGCTCAACTAACAAGGGTATCAGCTCCCTTGCAGGACGAAGCGTGGTTCCCTTAAGCTCAACAGTGTAGTGAGTACAACCCTGACAACTTGTACTGAAGGTGTCGTCGACGTACAACAACACTTGGTGGCTCTCTGCCACAAGCTGAAAGCTATGATTGCTCAACTAACGAAAGTGCCAAATCCTTCGCAGGACGATTCATAATTCTAACAGAACTCTAGAATATTTCTAGAATATTTCGGAGTCCAGATTTTGGCTTGTTGAACTCAATGTATGGTCGCTTTCACGACGAGTCTAATCCTGGTTATCACATGTACACAATGAGAGTTTGGAGTGTTTTTACTGCCTCCTGTTGCGCTAGTTTAGTAGTACGACTTAGTCTCACCCTTCTGAAGATGGTATTCAATGACGGATTGACTATAGAGACATTTATCCCCTGGATGAGCTACACTTCGAATTACACCACTATTTCTTGCTCTCTTGATAGGTGGTACTCGAATATGGCGCTCGGTACTCGCAGAGAAGCAGACACTTTATCCCGGATTTGCTGATCAATTATCCGCATCACATTGGCGTGTTCAAAGACCTGTTGCCTGCTAAGCAGTGATGGACATACACACTGATGTCATACTTAACACTATGGTAAGTTTACAGAATGTTAGATGATGTATTTGTCTAGTTTCGTTCTTGCAGCATCGTTGGCTGCAATGTCTAGTTTGAAAAGAGAAATAAAACTGATTGCAGAAGTATAACATAAGTACATGACACAAACAAGGCAGGCAGGGCAGCTCGAAGTAGCCGTGAACGCCGCTGTCTGATGTTTGCTGAAATATGTTAAATTTGTACAGCTTCACAGCCCTTCGTCTCTAGTGTTTGTCTACATAACAGGACATGTCTATGGTAATGGAGTCTGTAATGAACAGCATGCTAGATTCTCGCTTTGGATGGATTTCTTGTACTTGGTAATGGACCACACTCGAAACCGTGACTGGTTGTTGGTTTTTGTGGCTGGATGAAAGGGCATATTAGACTGTATGACTGGTTGTTGGTTTTTGTAGCTGGATGAAAGGGCATATTAGACTGTATGACTGGTTGCAAGACCTGTAACTGTTCACAGGGGCCGGACTGTTCACCGACGACCACATTTACTTACTTGACTTTGCAACTAAGTGAATGGGCTGAAGTGTTATTTTGTTGTGAACTTAATTTTTGACATCACGTTTCATGCACAAGTAAATGTACTTGCAAGTACATGCACGTTAAAAAAAACTGCTCTCGCAGGTCTTATTGATGCAAGGCAAGATTAGAAAAGAGGGTCACGGCTTCCATGACTAATCAAAATAAATGTGAACGAAGAATTCTGCTGGCCCCAAAGGTCCCAAACCCATCTCCAGAGTTGCACGCTCCACTGCATCATGTACTCTTGCTGACGTTACAGTCAGTATTAACACAGAGATACACGAACAAGTAGCTAGCCAGGTCGGGAAAGAAACTTGATAACCACCATAGAGAGTGGAGTGCGCTGTGTAATACTTCCTGATCTTAAATAATTGTAATTGCTGTTTGCGTGGGTCTTCTGTGTTCTCTCAGGTACCTCTGAACAGCCGAATACTATGCCGAATTGTGCAGGAAGTGTGTGATAATATCATGGGAGACTGGAATATGGTGTCCATCTTGTGATTTTTAAAGTTATTATTTCTCCGATTCCTTTCTTTTTCTACTGACCAGAACAGTGAGTAAGTTGGTGCTGCGTCTTGGTTCATTCCACTCTATTGGCTGAGTAACTGAGTAACTTAGTAGGTGAGTACATCGGATGTGAGAGGGTAATGCTGCTAGTGCTAGTGCAGTATGCATGTTGATTGTGTTATTGAAATCAAGGCATTGTCGAATTTTGTGTGTGTGTGTGTGTGTGTGTGTGTGGTACATGGTGTATGTGTGTGTATGTGTGTATGTGTGTATGTGTGTGTGTGTGTGTGTGTGTGTGTGTGTGATTACTTTACTTCCCATTTCTTTTTTTCTGTTCAGAGTGCGTACATATTGTACGTTGATATTGTGAATCCTCCACATGTGTATTCACTGCTATTCAGCTTCCATTGTGCGTGTGTGTGCTTGTACATTAATTTTAATTCCCATGAAGTTCGTTTTTCTTTGTGTGGGCATATACGTTGATATTGTGAATCCTCCACATTTGTGTTGTTCCTTCCATTGTCCATACAACATGTAGTACATGTAGCGTCTGGAGTGGCCAGGATCCTGATTCTTGACTGAGTTACATCTTTAAAAGGTAGTAGCGTCTGCCATGATCTCTGTGTGTGTGTGTGTGTGTGTGTGTGTGTGGTGTGTGTGTGTGTGTGTGTGTGTGTGTGTGTGTGTCCAACCTGTCGGAAGGCTACCCTCTTGCCAAAGCATTTTTGGAAGTTGGACTAGTTTCGGCTCCACAATCCAGTGTGTCGTTACTATAATTATAGCTTTCATGGCTGAGGTTGTTGATACGTCTGTTGGCCCTAGGTTCCCAGTACCCAGTTGCCGAGGCTGGTTGGTAAAATAACTCCAATTTCACTTCAAGGTACCAGTGCATCTAGTGTCTTCTTTTATCAAAGCAGCGTGCTGTCTATACTGGTTACCCCAGCAAGTGTAGGGTGTGCATAGGTAATTGTCTTGGCCGTCCTATTCCGATGTACTCCGTGTGGTGTAGACCAGGTGTGCATTGGGGGGTCGATTCACATGGCTTCGCCAGTTGTGTGGATTAGACAGTTATCTGGCACTTGTCTTGATCTGTTTCAATCAGAATCAGATCCGCTATCGTTGCTATAAAGAGAAAATCTGTGGGTGCACATCCAGTGCATTTGCAGATTTGCGTGCTTCTCTTGCGACGGGCATGGTACATGGTGTGTGTGTGTGTGTGTGTGTGTGTGTGTGTGTGTGTGTGTGTGTGTGTGTGTGTATGTGTTCGGTCAGGCCGGCACGTCATGTGTCGGTGACAGGAGGACAAAACTAAAAGAGCTGGCATTGCACCCGGCGTGGGTCGATTCACCCGCGAAACGTGACTAAGTACCAGCACAGTTCTGTGCTGAGCTCTCTTGTTTCTCTGGTTTTTTTATGTGAAAAAGAGAAGAAACACATGAGAACATTGTATTACTGGCTCAGTATCCGAGTATATATTTTATGTGTATGCTCACAGTGTGGGTATTAGTGTAAGGCGGCACGAACCATGTGAGATCGGATTGTGACTGATCACGTGCGTTGCAGCCTGGTTTACGTAGCTTGTTCGTTTGAGCCTTTGAGGATATAGAACTAACATACATGTATGATGTAGACCGATCCTAGCGATGCCCCAGTGCGCTGGCCATGCAGCCGCGATTAAGCGGTACACACATACCTACATTTATGCGTTGCAACACGCAGCGTTCTGTAGATCTACGCGCTGAGCTAGCTGAGGGCGCCGAGTCGCCGAGCCGCCGACCCCGGGCCCGGTCAATCGACTGGATTTTCAGGTCCGCTTCAGTTTTGCCAGTACTGGCACTTGGCAGTAGATCATGGTAGATCAACCAGCTAGCTAGCGACTAGCGTGTTGTTATCATGGTTATGCACTTGAGACTTGAGTGATGACGCGTGTGTTATCAAAAGACTTTTTGCAAATAATTTGGTCATTTGCGCTAAAAAACAACGACAAAAAAACAATACAAGAAACAACAAGAGCACCTCGATCTCGCCTTCATAATGTAGATCTACCAGCTAGCGCTAGCGTGTTGTTATGCTAAGGTCAGAAAGGACTTGGTGGCACTCGCTGGTTTATCTCATCAGTTGAAGAATATTCCTTATCCTGGCGTCGATCGCTGAGAAGGTGCACTATTGGCTACTGACGTGCATAATAGTTTGTTACATTCACAACAGTGTTGCTGTGGTAATCCGCGCAGTGCTGAACATCTCTATTCACTGTGCAACTGTATCATACAGCTATTCTAACTTACTGGGGTAAGAGAATTATACATGTACAAAAAAGAAGATGAATGTTGAAGAAACAATAGTTGACTGGCGGGCTGAGTGCGTTCGAGCAATTGTATTCCGGATTTCCATGTGGCAATGTCATGCTGTGTTGTGTATCGGACATGCATAATCTTACCACCCTATCCGACTTTTCGGCCGAGGAAAAAATCGAGAAGTAGTTTGACAACTCCTAAAACTAGTAGAGAACGAGTACGTGTACATGTTGGTGACTCGTTTACCCATCCTGTCCGTAAATTTCATATGGCATTCAATTGACGGTAACTTTGGTGTTTCTCAATGGATTTGAGTGAAATTTTGACCACACACTCCTGCCACTATGCTGGCCCTCAGGACATGATTTACAAGTTCTTGCGCCTCACTGACAGGCTTTGAAAACTCAAATTTCCGGCATAGTGCCACGGTGTGTGAGCCACCCAGGAGCTAAACAAATGCATTTACAATTTTTTCACATTTTCGTGCCCATTCTATCCGTGCGCGGGACCCAAACCTAAAACAAGTCCAGAAGCAGCCATGGGTGGTGGGGTAGGGCCCCTCAACGTGGCCCTGGAATCTGTCACAACGGAACGAGTGGGCGTTCTCTCACAGACTCCCACAGATCCAAGTCAATTTTTGAATTTTTTTAGGTTTAGCACGTGCTACGAGGTCGTACCTTTGATACAACATCCAGTGCTGGGACCTCCACAGCAAGCCATTTCCACAGCGCTGCACACGAAATCCAGGATACCTTCAGAAACCGGCAAAGACTACCACTCACGTTCCACTACTGCCTAGTACTGAATCCTACCTGACTTCTTGACACGACTCAAACTTGCCAAAGTCACTAAATCAACGTCAACTACAATAATCAAGCCACATATCTGCAACGTCACGAGGGTGCTGGCAAAAGTCCTGCTGCACGGCGGCGGGCAAAGCCCGCCGCCGTGCAGCCCAATACATGGTTTTTTAACATGATTTTTGGACTTTTTTGGACTTGGAGCAAAATTCTGCACACTTTCGAGTGTTTCCATGATACGAAAAGTTGCGCACGGTCTGCTCAGATTCAAATACAGTGCTGCCAACAAATGACAGCGTTCAACAAAAAAAATCTTTCCTTGCAAGGGCACATTTTCGGGCATACTCTTGAACGGCTGGTCAGATCGGGACACAATTTCAGAGAATTTGCAGCTATTCATGCTCTTTCAACTGATGTAGCACTCGATATGAATTTACGAATTCGACTTTTCAGGGATTTTACGACCAGTCTGCCCCCTTTGTTGTGAAACGACAAGTTCTCGAGAGTGAAAGGCCTTCTCGCTTGTGACATTGTGTTCGTTCCAATGCAGTTGTATCCCGACTCCGCCGTACCGCTGATGTTTACGACGTAGTATACCCTACATGCGCTATGTGCGGTTTGCTGTGTGCGCTGTCATTTTCACGCTATAACTACCTGGTGGTTTTAGTGTTATACATTCATTCATTCATTGTTTAGTTAGTCGATGGAAGTGAAATATACTGTTGAGAATAAATAGTTGTCCTCGTGCCATGTGGGGTCGTTCGTTCCTGACACTTTAGAGAACCAGAGGGTTCACAACACCCTTAATTAATTACTGTTAGGCCAAATTGCCAGGGAATTTCGATGTGGTTGGCTGAAGTTTGTTTTCGAGTCAAACAACACGTGTACATGTAGTTATAAACTGACTGAAGTGATCTTTTGCATTTTACTGAAAATGCCCAAAAGCAGTTTACGAATCATTTCTTTCGTGACTGATCTGAATGAGGCAGTAAGTGTTGGTGACTGAAATCTGGTCAATGTAAGTCAGCTAGTACCGGACACTGTGCAGCTGTAGACTTTCCAACATTGGGTTGTGCACTGCTGTATGGCCGGAAATGTATTATTCATGATCCCGGATTTCATCATGTCTAGCACTGCATGTATATCTGATCTGTTGTATGTTGTGTGTATGTGTGTGTGTGTGTGTGTGTGTGTGAGAGAGAGAGTGTGTGTGTGTGTGTGTGTGTGTGTATGTGTGTGTGTGTGTGTGAGTGTGTGTGTGTGTGTAAAAAAAAAAAAAGAAGAAAAAAGACCAAAAATAGGGATTCACTGGCCAGAAAAAAGTCACTTCAAAATAGCTGTATGGTGTAGACCAGGCTGAATAGTGACGGTCAATTCTTCAGCCTTGCAAGCTGTTGAGTGATGCAATCCCAGCACAAGTTGCTATGGCTTCTGCCGTAGCATTGCTATCATTGCCTCCGGCGATGGGCGTCAAAGGTCAGGTGTGTGTGTATGTTGTGTGTGTGTGTGTGTATTTTGCCGCACTGTGTGTTATTCTCTATAGACCGGCAGTACGTAATCTTCTGACAAATTCTCAGTAATCCACACCATACACTGTACGCTATACACCCGTGTACTACTGAATATACAACATCACCAGGAGAACATGTTTGCTTCAAAGTTACATGGCAATCTCAAGACTGTCAGTAAGTTTGTTCAGCATGGTTATGCTGTGAGTGTACAGAGCCGGTTAGTCCAGTCAACCTGCGCGTCAAGGCCATGTGTTGCTAGCAAGTTGACTCAGACATCAGCACAGTCCAGGCAGTCAGTTAGGTGGAGATCAGATCAGTCTGGTCGTCAAGTCACTACGGTACATGATGCATATGATGCCATTGATTCAATATTTGATAGCATGGTGAAGGTACGCACTTTTCAACCCAGCTATCTACTATCACAATGTTCTCTCATCCAACGATATGTTACTGAACTACGGAGTCCAGGCAAGGTTAGGGATATCCTGCAGGCATGTGCTCTTGTCAATGAGGAGAACACTGACGTGACCGCACTGGCAGTATCTGCACTGAACCAACTAGCCAGTCTACCTACTGAAATCTGGCAAGAAAGCAAGAACCAACACACGCTGTTATGGGCAGTGTACTGGGCCGCAAAGTGCCGATGTTCAACTCCAGGATTCACAAAGTTACTACAACAGCAGCTTGATGTCATGTGCATTGAGGAATGTAGAGATGTTGATAATTGTGCATATGCATTGTTAATGTTAAATATGTCTGATCGTCACCTGGCCCAACACTTGATGAATCGCTACCTTACCATCCAGAGTACAGGTGATCCAAAGCATCGTCATACTGTAGTACTCTCACTACTTCTCTACTGTACACTGTGTGGTGTAGAGTGCAGTGCCTTGCTGAAGCTGATCAGTGTTGATCAACTGATACAGAGTAAGTCTATTCTGGAATAAGACCTATTGAATGGAGACTTGTGTCTGTTGGTTGTGGAATTTCTGCTCACACGGAGTTACAA